CTTGTGCCTTGGCTGCATAAACTTTCCTTGTGAGAGATGCTTATTGCAATACGCTGTTCTGTTCCTTAATTTTTACCTGTGACCTGCAGAAGTTGCTTTCTTTGGATGATGACCACGAAGATTCAAATGATTCTTGTAAGAAACATGAGCTTTTACATTTTTCCTTCCATTTTATTATTATTAGTGTTTCATCATAAATCTGATAGTAACTTTCATTATGGGATCAGTCATCAAGGACGGGAAAGAAACTGCATGTTACTCAATCCTGTCCAAAACAAACTCAGAAATTTTGTTGCAATCTGAGACTAACGAAGCAGAGAAAGGAACCACAAACTTGTAAGCCATTTCCCCCTAATTTTATGTATGGTAATGATAGCTGATTCACCTTATTTTCAAGCTAATGATAGTTGATTCCACGATCCTCTCTATTTGTATTCCTACAGGTTATCGCTCGACTTGTCTCTCTCAGGAGGTGCTCCTGGACGAACAAGGGGCCTCAAGATATCCCCGGTTAACTAGATAACTCAAAACATTGTTGCTGATGGCATTGCAGAAGCACTGACGAGAAACTTTTGATCAACCTGCTTGAGATAACAGATTCAGAAACACCCTAGGACAAAGGAAATAAAAAAAACATGGAATTCATTTCCATTTGTTATTTGTTTGCCGGAGAGGCATCAGCTACTAGGTTCATCATACCTGAACTAGGTGAAATCATAGTGAGGAATTGTACCGTATCATTGAGGAATTGTTTGCTTCATTGTTCTTGAGAGGTTTTTTTGTTCGTTGAACGGAGTACAATGAGGGCTCCTTTATCAGTGAAGTAAAAGAATTCATGTAGTCCTATAAACATTAATAGTTAATCCATTTGCTGGATTATGCTGTGCGTCCATCCTGATTCTCAAGCTAATTGTCTATTAGTAATCGGTAAGCTAATACAAGCAAATTGTTAGTATATCAATGTTTGGCTCACACCAAATGAATCGCCCATCTTTTTCTTAAACTCTATCGCTCTTTTAACTGGCTTCTGTTATAGTACTCCTTCCGTTTCTGTTTTAAAATATATAAGCATTTTTATTTCGGAAAACGTGCAGAAATACTTATATTTCCGTTTTAAAATATAAACATTTTATTTCGGAAACGTGCAGCAATATTTATATTTTGTAGCAGAGTGTGATCATAATCTCAACACAATCTATGCCATTTTGTCTGTTTTAATGACGATTTCACTAGTCTCAGAGAGCCCAAAAACTAAACTAATTAGGTGAAACCTCACGCATTGCTGCGGGAATTTAGTATGATAACAATAAAAATATAACGTGTAAGATAGCTAGATAACATCAAATTAAGTAAATTAATGTGGTTTATGATAATTTAAATTTAAATAGTATGTAGAATGGTGATTCGTAAAAAGTAATGTGGTATGACTTTATAGAAGAAGAAAAGTAGGGAGATAGTTTGGACCGTAGATTAATCATCTAAAGGCTAAAAACAATTGATGTGATATGACTTTTTTTTACAGCGATGTGATATGACTTAATTAGAGGAAAAAAGGAGAAAGATAATTTGGACCATAGATTAATCATTTAAGCACTAAGTGAGGATGAACTATATAAGTATATAGGATATCATAAAGGAAAAAGTATGAATTAACCCCCCCCCAACGAACCATCGCGATCGTCTGAATTACCCCCCCTGAACCACAAAACCGGACATTCTTCACCCCCAATTATGCAAACCGGACGAATTACCCCCCTTGACCCAATCCACGGTGGTTTTGGTCTACGTGGCGTACACGTGGCAGTCCAATCAGCGTTTTTTTAATTAAAAAATTGTGGGACCCGCATGTCATACACTAAATACTCTCTCTCTATTCTCTCTCTCACCCTTTTCTCTCGCGCAGCGCGCACGGCGAGGACAAGCGCGGGGGGCGGAGCGTGGCGGCGGAGCACGGCGGAGGAGCGTGGCGCCAGAGCGGAGGCGGCGGACGAGCGGAGGCGGTGGAGGCGGCCAAGGAGCGTGGCGGCAAAGCGCGGCGGAGGAGCGTGGCGGAGGAGCGAAGGCAGCAGAGGAGCGGAGACGGCGGACGAGCGTGGCAGCGGAGGCGGCGGACGAGCGGAGGCGGCGGAGGAGCGTGGCAGCGGAGGCGGCGGACGAGCGGAGGCGGCGGAGGAGCGTGGCAGCGGAGCGTGGTGGAGGAGCAAAGGCGGCGGAGCGTAGCGGACGAGCGGAGCCAGTTGTGGGTGGCGGAGGGGGCCCGAGGACGATGACGGCCGGCGATGGAGGCGGAGGCCAACCGGGCACGCAGGGACGCGCGGTGGGCGGCGGGCTCCTCATCCTCGTCGTGGGCTCACGGGAACGCACGGTGGGCGGCGGGCTCCTCCTCGGCGGTGGCGCGCCACACTCCTCCGCCGCCTCCGCCACCCACAACTGGCTCAGTTCCCCGCGCTCCGCCGCCACGCTCCTCCGCCCGCCTTCGCCGCCACACTTCTCCGCCGCCTCCGCGCCGAAGTCCTGAGCGCCGACGTCCGCGCCGCCGCGCTCCGCTTCCACGCTTCGCCCCCCGCGCTCGTCCTCACCGTGCGCGTTGCGCGGGAGAGAAAAGGGTGAGAGAGAGAGTATTAGTGTATGACATGTGGGTCCCACAATTTTTTAATTAAAACAACGCTGACTGGACTACCACGTGTACGCCACATATACCAAAACCACCGTGGATTGGGTCGAGGGGGGTAATTCGTCTGGTTTGTATAGTTGGGGGTGAAGAATGTCCGGTTTTGTGGTTCAGGGGGGTAACTCAGACGACCGCGATAATTCGGGTGGGGGGTAATTCATACTTTGAATTACATTGAAAGATATACATTGAAACATTATGTGAATTATGTTGGATGATAATTTAACATGTTTGTATTTGATAAGCTCTTAAATTATAAAACTATAAAGATATAGCATGTTTGCATGATGTTTAAATGTGATGATTGTTAGTGGATGATGATGTGGTATCTTGTTAATTAGTGGATGATGATGTGGCATCTTGTTAGTGGATGATGATGTGGTATCTTTGCATGTTAAATTTAAGAAGTTAGTGGGGGATAACTTTATGGTAAGATAGGATGCGGTTCTCCTTTTGTCTGAATAAGTTTTGCTAATGATATGTCCTGCAGAGTGCAGATGATAAATATATCCAACTTGAGGGAACCCGAAACTTTTGTACTAGTTGAGGAATAATAGAACAGGGCCTGGAACAGTGTATTTCAGGCATTTATTTTTGTTCTTGTTTCTTTGAGACTATTGTGGGCCTTTCAAGCTACGAGGATGGAGTCATTCTCCAACAGCATAAACACTGTAAATGGATTCTATTTTATTTTTGTTCTTCTCTTCAAGAGGGAGGGAGAGAGAGATGCTATCTGCTTTTGCATGACTTATCAAGAACACAGTAATCTAGATCACAGTTACAGCCAACTTGCCTCCATATCTTCCATGAAGCATTTATCCTTCCTAAAGTTTAGTCCCTATTAGAACAAACTCCTTTCGATCCAAGCCTCAAAGCAAAGCAGATTGTTAACCTATCCTAGAAAGCATGGCTGCATCCAGCTCAAAATCCAGAGAGTAGTCCTTCTCAATGTCCATATCCAACAGAACTACAAAGCCATGTGTCTGTTCTCATGGAAAATGACACAAGCCAAGCATGAACCCTTCTTCAAGAGCATCCCTGTGTTTTCTGAAAAATCAGTGATTCAGACACATTACTCCTTTCAGGTTCAGTCACCCTACGCTGCAATCTCTGAATCTTCCTGCTCATCTGCTCCTATTCATTGCATTGTTTCCTGCTTAGTTGCCTGCTGATTCATTCACACGAAGATTAATTTCTAAACCTACTTGACTAGATCCTCATACATGGGGTTAATTCTGTGATGCACTTGCTACCTGGTGACAATGGCTGTGTTCTGAATTTTCTTCAGTTGATTGATCAGCTGAGAGGGAAAATATACCTTGTCTAGATTTTCAGAGAGTGATTGTATGCACATGGGTTGGTGCCTCTAACTGACTGGTTTTTCCAACTGAAAATGACAGATGAAGGAAATGGTGCTGCCATGCTGATTTTCTCACTAAGCATGATACTCTATATCAGATGAAAATGATTGGTTTTCTCACTGAACATGATAGATTGAGATGGGGAAGTGATCAATCTAAAGAAAATAGGATTGTACTATCTCCTGGTCTCACCACTGTACTCTTTCCAGTGTTGCAAGCAATCCCAAGCTTTTCCTAGAAAATATGCGCGAAATTGTATTCCACCGGCAATCATTTTCTTCTCCAGTTAATTAATACTGATACTAATTTCTACTGATAATTCAAAGCATACTGATATACTGTAGATTTATGGGTCTTATCAAAATATTTGCAGCAAGGTTTCCTCTCTGGTATTATATGAATTTTTTGCATCCCAAACAAACCATAAAAGGCTAAAAGCTGCCATTCAATTTTGGCAGCATTTCAGTAGCCTGTCTACTGGTTGGACTGAACTGCAGAAACATTTTCTCATGTAGTGGTCCTGCCTCTCATACTGTTTGGGTGAAGAATTTTGTGGATCATGTGTTGTTGGCACCTCTAGCATATTCTATTGTATGGAAATTTCATCAACTGCTAGTTTCAAACTGAATGATTTTTTTTTAAGAAAAAAATACTGTAGAATGAACTGTTTGTCATTCATAGACTTGAAGGTCTAGTATTCTAGTCTTACAAATAGGAATTTGTAAGACATTTGTAATGCATCTAGAAGCTAATTGACCGACTTGTGGCATGTATTGGACATTTGGACCCACATATCAATATGGACTATCCTTCTCTTCTTATCATGTTAAAGCTCAAGGTCACTGAAATAGTTTAATTAAAGAAGGAACAAAAGTACACTCCCTTCTTGTTTAATCCAATAAATTTATTTCAACTTTTCAGCTGCAAAAAAAGGTCAAGATTCACCATCATTTTGGCCATGATAAAGCTCAAGATAACACTACTAGTTTTTTTATTTAAAAACATCAATAAGCTTATGGACATCTCTCTTCTTGTTTAACCCAACAAACTTATCTGAACCTTTTGGTTTCTACTGCAATAAAAATGCCAATGAGAAAAATGTGAATTTACTGTTCATTTACTGAATTCCTCTGACGGTAGTAAATTCCATCGAGACAAAGAAGTTATTGCCTGCAGCAACGCGTGCAGATGTTTGGAGTATAGTGGTGCAGATCGAGCTCATGCCCGTACGTGTTGAGGGTCAGGATTCTGCCACGTGGCCATCGGATCCCTGCAAGATTGATCAGGCCAGCCAGGAGCCAGGGGCCAAGCTACTCTGTTCCTGACTTGCTGTGCCATCCAGTCTGCAATCACAGAAACCTTGATGAATCACAGAAACCTTCAGCAACAGCCTCAATTATGTGGGCTCAAGCGCATATTTCAGTGAAATGAATGGTAAATGGAAAAATGCTACTAGGGGAGTCATCAGTTGCTCATATTTTGGCTTATTAGGAAATAAAAATTAACTTATAAGTAAAAATAATTTATATATGTGTTCCTAACGATTTAAAAGTCAATGCTAAAAAAGAAACTACATTAAAATATCTTAAAATTAATTTTCAAATTTTAAGTTTGAAAATTTAAATTTTTGTCTTCGGCTTATTAGGGCAACCGATGGGGCTCTAGATTTTAGGCGGCAAATCGCAATCACCTACTCCCTGTCCATTAGATTGAGTCGCCTACCCCCTGTCCATTAGAGAGGAAACCGGGGAAGGCAAGAAGAGAGGGGAATGTGGAAACGAGGGTTTACCAGTGATAGTGGCATGACGAGCTACTCGTCTATCCCTTCATCTTGGGACACCACAAAAAATGGTAATTAGTTATTGGACACCCACGACTTTATTTTATTATATCTAGCGCAAATAGAGAGAGAAATAATCGTGAAAGTACAATTTTGCTCATGCCTGCCATGTGCGGCTCGCATATAGCTCCGACACCATGTATCATTACTAGTTTTTTACGGTGTCCCCACAATAGATACGTATTCTTGCAGTGTCCCCTACAAGTTTTTTGAATGTCTTGCAGCAAATTTTGCCACTTATAATATATTTAGTCACCCAAAAACTAGTCTGAAAATAAGGAATTGTGTAAAATTTTTAGTGGCATAGGATAATTTATGTAGACATTTTTTTTGTTGCATTCATGCATCATACAATTAGACTTTGCTACTTATGCTATGTATATAGTTCTTTAATGAACCTATGATTCAATACCTAAAACAAAGAAATAAATTAGACACCGCATAACGACAAATTCCACATCCACAACCCCAAAACCAAAAGGACGCAACTTGCGAAAAAGCATTCCGCACAAGACGAACAAATGTCAAAAAAGAAGCCAACACCATGACACACATGATACATGACATTTGTTTTTATCTTATTTTCTTTTGTTATCCCCTAGAAAGTCTTAATCAAAAGGCAAAATCGGAAATAGAAATACTACATTCCTTGGTGCAGAAATTAGTTCTAGCCACCTGAAATGTTTTTCGCCGAAGATGATATTGTCCAACATAAATATTGAATAGATTTACAATAGCAATTCAGAACAAATTTCTACCAGTGCTAGTAGGACAAAGAATGCTATTATATACCTGTGAGAAAAAAACATTTTATATACAGAAGAGCACATCACCATCATGTATAGATACAAACTATGTAGGCAAAGGAGATGCAAAATCTGATGCAGACCCTCCTACCCGTCAATTTTGCACCAATAGATTGGTGCCCCTTTAGTTTTTAATAATACATTATATTGATGTCACATCAACTCTAAATAGCAACATTAGTTATCTCAGAATGGAGAAATCAACATCTGAATGAGGTCACTTGTGTACCACCCTCCAATCCCCATTCTCCAAGTCCCAACCAAACCACATTTGAAAAAGAGAAAGGAAGGCTGCATTTCATTGGATAATTTTCTATATATGCATAATGCCTATTAGCTTGCTCACTAAATTTTATTGTGGAAAATAGAACGAGATCCACTTGCTCAAGGGCCCCATGAAACATTTCTTCAAAGACAAATTAATTATTTTACCATTTTATATTGATGTACTATTATAGCTTGACAGGCATGTGCCGATATCAATTGCCTCCAGACATATCTAATCATATGGCAAATTTAATAGATCAAGAGTAGGGATGGTGCGATGCAATTACTATGCACCAATTTATGCTTGAGATGACAATTTTACAAAAAAGAGTATTAATTGTTGGGACCTAGCTTAAGTAGATGCACCTGAATGTCAGCAGAGAGAGGTAGGTTCCCTAACCCAACCCATATTCTAATCATAGCCATTATGGACCTAACTGTTTCTTAAAAAAAATATTTACATCATTTAATAACAACTCACATGATGAATAATAAAGCCACATATCTGGCCTTGTATCCAAATATATCAAAAGTAGATGAAATGCAAACCAAACATCCATTGCAATATTCCATCCAGTTTCAATACTGTCACCATCTGAATGCATCATTAAACATCCAGAAACTACCCTGTAACATCTAAGACAACTTCCTTTTTTGTAGAAATTAGGAACTAAGAATGGCTAAAAAAAGAAACAGAAAGACCAAGAAACTCAGTGTTATACTATTAAAAGAGCTACCTTAACCAGGATCACAATAGCATCAAGCATTCACACTTCACTAGAATAAAAATATGCAACAATCTGAATTTTACTTAGACCATAGCAATTTCGTGGAAATTTTACGCTACACAATATACATGAAAATAGTAGCCAACCCATGTTTCTTCCAGGTCACAGTACAAGTCAGCACTGTGAACAAAGACAAGAGGCGAGCTTACCGAGCCACCGTCCCCAAGTTGTTTTATTCTGACAGGGTGCATCAGTGAGGGACCAGGTCATCTAGAACACATTAAACATTAACCTCGCATTGATCGATGATGTTAACCATCTTAATATCCAAATCCCTTTCAAAATGCCTCCAGGAGAAGGGAAGCAATCCAGGCCAAGCCAATCTTTTTCAATGCCGATCTGCCGACCTGTGATCATGACCACATCCACAGAGTCAAGCACTGCACAAACTAAGCCCATGCCAACAGCTGTTGTCATCAGGCAACCATCAGAACAGCAACTGAACACAATCCATGTGATTTTAAAACTAATGCCATCTCAGGTGAAATGATACTCCCTCCCTCCCAAAATATTAAGAGTTTTGGTTGGATATAACATATCCTAATAGTACTATAAATCTGGACAATCTGGACAGGCAGCATGTCCAGCTTCGTAGTGCTAGAATGTGTCACATCCAACCAAAACTTCTTATATTTTGGGACGGAGGGAGTATGCGATAATGTAATTCTCACAGGATAAAGGGCACATGTATATGATGCTTTCTGAAGAAAAGAAAAGAAATGCAGGAAACAGGGGAGATTAATCAATCTTGGTACTACAATAGGAATTTTACATCAATCATGAATCATGGGTACAATTTGTAGGGCATTACATCAATGATGAGCTTTGTTAGGACTAAGCAACATTTGATGTAAATACCCTCCCCTCCAACTCCTTCACAACCAAAGGATGGGGGCAAATAGATAACATAATTCATGATCCTCAGTCACATTTTAGAAAAGAAAAACAGCGAAAAGAGATTAAAAAGATTAATACAAGGATAAATCGAAAAGAAACACAAAGGAGAAATCTTTCACCTAGGCAAGCCGGCAATTTGATACAATTTGACTAGGCTCCGATTCCTCCGATTCTTTTACATACGGGCAATGCTAAATGGTAGAAGAATTTCCTCATCACCTTCTCCGCTAAATAATTCTCATCACCCCCAAAAGAATGTATCACCGGTAATCAATAGCAAGATTGATGCTAGCAAGTAGCAACAAGTAGTGAGTAGTAGTAGCAATCGGCGAAGCACATCTAAAAGAATGGCGCATTTCTTGTTCAGTTTGTGTTTGTGTTTTGTGTTTCTAGACAACCATCTCATCGAGCTGGAGCTGTTCAAGCCAGCTGCTGATGACTCCGGCAGTGTCATCCTCGCCTCCGACGATGTGATCACGGCTTGTGTTCTGTCCCAAGATGCCAATGGAATCCATTGCCGATGTCGTCGTCATCATCTTCTCCGGTGTCGGCTCCTTCACTAGGGTGTTGACCCATGAGAGGTCAGGCTCATGGTTGCCATTGGCGGCTCCGGACCGGAGCTCGAACGAGGAGCAACGCTTGAGGCGGCCGAGCTCCTCGTCGTCGGCGCCCCAGTCCGGGTTGCCGGAGGGGAACCCCCATTTGGACATGCTCGAGCTCACCGGCGAGCCGACCAGCAGCGACGCGGCGTTGCCGAGGTCCCGTGAGCTCATGCTCCGCAGCGTCTGCTGCTGCATCTTCTCCCGCTGCGCCAGCGCGGCGAGGAGGCGGGAGCTCATTGGGGAGACCGGCTCTGGTGTCACCGCGGCCGCCCGCGGCGAGAGCAAGCTATGCTGCTGCTGCAGCTGGAATTGGTTGAGCACGGTGGCCTTGCGGGTCGGGGAGAACGCGGCGCCGCCTTGGTCGGCGTAGCGCGGCGAGCGCGACGCCGCGGCGGCGGCGAGCTCAGCGGAGAAGAGCTCGTCGAGATTTGACGGCACAAGCGCCTTCCCCCTCGCGGACCGGATGGAGGCGGGGGAGGCGACGAGGCCGTCGTAGTCCGCCGCCGCCGCCGCCGCGGCGAGCAGCTCGTCGACGGCCATGTCGCGCGCGCTCAGCGACGTGCGCAGCCGGCTCAGGTGGAGGTTCCCGGCGCTCCCGGGCAGGCAGAGCGCCGGCACGCTCGGCTGCTGCGGCCACGCGCCGCCGCCGCCGCTGCCCCCGCCCCCGCCCCCGCCCCCGCCGGCCGACGGCGATAGCGGCGGCGTGAACGACGACGACCCCGGCGACGACAGCCCCATCCCCATCGCCGCCGCCGCCGCCGCCATCTCCAACGCCCCGCGCGGCGACGGCACGGCGGAGCCCGTGGAGACGTAGAGCGGGCGGAGCTCGTCGGGCGTGTGGGCGAAGAAGCAGACGCGGCGGGCGCAGCCGACGCCGTCCTTGCAGAGGCGCGTCCGGTACTGCGCCGGGTGGAGCCAGCTCTCGAACACCCCGTGCGCGTACTCGCACATGTCCCCTCTCCTGCACCCGGCCCCCTTCTTGAACTCCGGGCACGGCACGCAGCTGTAGTGGTACTTCCTCGGGTCGCGCCGCCGCGCGTTCTCGCCGGGGTGGACGAAGGGGCACTCCGTCCAGTCATGGGAGTAGGCCCGCGAGCACGCGCGCACCTTGAACGAGTACATCCTGAAGTCGTCGGAGGCGTAGGCGCCGTTCTTGATGTCGGGGAGGGAGGGGTCGGGAGGCCACTCCTTGCGGGCGCCGAGGAGGGAGAGGAGGTGGTTCTTGAGCGGGAGCGAGTTGGGCGGGAGCGCGACGAGGTCGGACGCCCGGCGCTGGAGGTGGTCGAGGAGGGCCGGGTCGGCGCCGGCGGCGAGGAGGCGGGAGACCGCCGCGGGGGCGGAGGCGGACCCGCCCGCGGCGGCGAGGTGGAGCGGGGTGGAGAGCGACGACGCCGAGGCGCGGTTGGGGTCCACGAGGTAGGGCGGCGAGAGGAGCGCGTCGAGGCAGCCCACCGAGCCGTACACGGCGGCGACCATGAGCGGGGTCAGCGGCTCCGCGCCCCGCGCCGGGGTGTACCACGGCGCGGGCTCGTCGGCGAGGGAGGGCCACGCCGCGAGGAGCTCCCCGAGCCCCGCCGCGTTGTCGTCGGCCGCCAGCTCGAGCAGCCTCGCGGAGACGGCCGCCTCGGCGCCCCCAGGCTCCCCCATCGGCGGCGGCGGCGCGCGATCGGAGAAGGTGTTCGACGAAATGGCGAAGAGGAGGGAGGAGATGGGGAAAGGGAGTGAGGCTTTTGCTTTGGAGCCTCCTCTCTCTGGGTTTTTGGGCAAAACTAGGTTTAGTGAGCTCTTGGCTTTACTTACACACACAACATTTTTTTCCCCTTCTCTTTGCTTTATGGGAACAAGGGTAAAATGGGGTTTTTACTCAGTTTTTTTTTACAGCTTTGCACCTTGAGAGAAGGTAATTTTTTGTTGAGGCTTGTCACAATTTTGCTTGAACCAAAGAGGTGAGAAGGGTGGGTTTTATTTTTGATGGAGGTGAAAAGGTTTTGATGCTTATTGGATGAGATGGGAGAAAGTGGTCAAGTTTGGGTGGTGCATTGAATTTTAGCTGGTTTCATGAGAAAACAAGACTACTCCAGCTTCTTTCTTTTGACTTTCTAAACTTTTTAAAGCACATGTTCATTAGTACATAGCGGTAGATGACTATGGAAATGATCGGTATACTTCATCTGAAAAGAAATACAGACAGAAAACTAGGGTTGTGTTTAGTTCATTCCAAAGTTGGAAGTTTAGGTTGAAATTGATACAATGTGACTGAAAAGTTATGTGTGTATGAAAGGTTGATGTGATGAAAAAAGTTACAAGTTTGGATCTAAAGTTTGGATCTAAACACAGCCTAGTAGATGATAATAAACAATAAATGGTATATATATTTTGTCTTAAAAAGCGCTAGCAGCATCCTCGATTTCTATAAGTAAACTATTTCTTCCATGCTATATATCTTCATGGCTTTAAGGTGGTGTTTGGAACGGACGAATATGAAGATTAAGTTGGCACACGTAAAACGAGAAAGTTATTAACACATGATTAATTAAGTTTTAATTATTACAAAGTTGACAAAGGGATATATTTGATATTTCAAAAAACAACTTTTACATATAAAATTTTTTACACAGAACGTATCGTTTAGTAGTTTGGAATGCGTGCTAAAAGAAGATTAAGTTTGGTTTTGTAGGATCGAGATGAAGCTAAGAAACCACTCTGGTGGATAGATTTCTATTGCTCGATGAAAAAAAAAACTGTTAGATGTTTTAGGTAAAGAATATGGTCTGGAAAGTGTCAAATGTCATTGATTAACTGATATGGAGGAGAGTGGAATTAATTATCTGTTTGTATGACTTAATTTGTTTTTGTGACGTTAAAGTCTTTTGACCAAATCTAGCTAGTAAGCTGCTACTACATTTTTTCCAAACTGTCAGACGATACGTTGATGGAACAAGATTTTCAACTGAGATGATCTAGTGATGACTTTTTCCTGAAAGTGCAGCTCCACACAGAGGAACAAATGAATTGAAGCATGCATGCAATTAAGAATATAAACATGCAAAGTAGTATTATGGCTATTCCCAACCCAATGATTAGAATGGTGTCCATAACATTAAATAAGCTGCCACATAGGATAAAAATTGATGTGACAAGTAAATAAATGAGAAAAGAGAAGGAAACCATGTCTTTGCGTGAGAAAAGAGACATTGTTTCTACATAACATCCAAGAACATCATGTGAGATAAGCAACATTAAATTTAAGTATGGAATAGTGGTGTTTGCATTGAAAGATTAATGTATAGTACTAGTTTTTTGATGATGTAGAGTTTATGAAAACTATGTCTAGTGTCTTGGTTGGGAATAGTCTAAAGGCAGTAAAATTATGAAATCAGATTTTAATTAGGGAGTAAATGGAATTACCAGCTCATCTCCATGATAAGTAAACAAACCTCCACGCAAAAAAGTAAATGCGCACAAGACATGCTAGTAGGCATACAGTAGAAGCTTTGTTCACTGCAAGGAGTAGCTCTAAAGTCTCCCTTGGGATTCATGAATTTTAATTTTATAGGATTTTCATATAATTATTTATATCCCTCTAAAATTCCTTAAAATTTATCCGATCCACATGTTTAATCATATTTATTAATTCTACTTATTTAATTATAATTATAACATGTGATGGTGTTAACTTCTCAAGTTTGACCATCAGTTATTGAAAAAACTATAATATTTTAGCACTATTTATTTCATTGCGACTTTTTATCATTAAAGGAACTTTAAATATGATTTATTCATTTTTATATTTGGACTAAATTTTTTAAACAGGAAAAATGATCAAACATAATCACACCCTATTCTTGGTTCATAAGCTGTTTCTTTTGAGATCGATTTTTACCTCGTCATATGTAACTATCCCAAAAGAAGGATGGTAAAAAAAAAAGAAAAACATGTTCCATACTAAATTTGATCGGCACTATACTCCTACCGTGTAGTTGATCGTACATTTGCAATAGAAGAAAGTAAGAATTCACGAAAATCCAGGGTGATTTCGTGCATATCGATCTTCTGAACATTTTTCCTTTTTACGGGGGGTAAAACCGGAAAGCCAGGCAAAGCGACCGGCCGCAGCCGGTGGGCCGCGACGACCGACCGGGCCTCCCGCGCGCGTGCGTGCGTGCGTGCTGTGCCTTGGCTCTGCGCTGCTGCGGTGGGCCACCCCTCCTCCTGCCTCGCGATCCGGGCCTGGACCCACCACCCGACCCGACCCGATCCGCTGGCTCCCTCTCTGCGAGTAACTGACAGGTGGGCGCCTCGTCAGCAGGGCTGGTGGGTTGTGGGCCGCCAGCGAATCCGGGAGGTGGAGTAGCAAATGGGCTTCTCGGGAAACGGGAATAAATCCGGCTCGGCTCGTGGGGTGGGTCGGGTCCGGCGTCGGCGACGCGCGGCGAGTCGGGCTCGCTCGCTCGGTCGGACTCGAGTCGAGTCGAGTTGGCAGCGGGGACGCGTGGCACGTGCTGTTCCGTTTGTATTCCACCTGCAGCGTGGCGCCACTTGTATTTATGACATCATCACAAATAAAAAATACTAATTATAATTAGTACTAGTTGTGGGTGGCTACATCCCGCTGTACAATACAAGAAGTATTAGACTTAGACTCTGTTTAGATGGGACTAAAACTAGATTTAAGTTCCTATCATATCGGATGTTTAGATATTAATTATAAATATTAAACGTAGACTATTAATAAAACCCATCCATAATCTTGGACTAATTCGCGAGACGAATCTATTGAGCCTAATTAATCCATGATTAGCCTATGTGATGCTACAGTAAACATTCTCTAATTATGGATTAATTAGGCTTAAAAAATTTGTCTCACAAATTAGCTTTCATTTATGTAATTAGTTTTGTAAGTAGTCTATATTTAATACTCTAAATTAGTGTCTAAATACAGGGACTAAAGTTAAGTCCCTGAATCCAAACACCACCTTACACAAGAATACTTAGTAGAATTAAATGGAAGAAGTTTTCGATTTTTCGAGGAAATAAAAGTTGGTGAAGAATTTGAATAGTGGAGGTTTATGGTTTGTCGAGAAGGAAATATGGTTGGTGAAGTTATTTATATTTTGCGACAAATTTTGAATGCTAAAAGTTATTATATTTTAGGACGGATGGAGTATATTTTTATTATAGTTATTGTGCTTTGTGTGGGACCTACAGTAGTACAGTAAATCAATGTGAATGTTGTTTCTCTCCAATTGTCCAGTAATTAAACTCATGAACACATGAATTTAACGAAAGTGAGTCTTAGATTCTACGAAATGGAAAAAATACATGAGTATATGTTTGGTTAGATCGCACGAAAAACATAGGAGTTTACGAAAAGATAGAGATTGAAAGGACACATTTTATGAGGTTGAAACTCATTAAATTTTCTCCAAAATTTGCATGTATAGAGGTATTGTGTCCTTTCTTTGTTTCAGATCCATTTAGAAAAAAAAAATCCTATGACAATGAAATCCTATCAAATTCATATGCTTTCCCTTCAAATGGCCTTGAGCCTAGATAAGACATTATGAATATTTATGCACGAAATATACTAGAACTAATATACAGAGTGTAGCACATTGTTTAGCTTCAATAGTGCACCTCACGCCTCCCGCCTCCCACATGTACAGTTACTTACACCTTGTTATGCTAGGCTCTTCATCTATCCCCTCCCCCACTCTCTTCTTACAATGTAAAATAAATTGCTCGTACCCTTTTCCGAAGGGGTGAGAATAATTCTTGTTGCATCGGGAGGGAAGTGGGAAAGCATAGAATAAATGTTCTAGTGAAATAAATTTCCAAGATTTTTTTTGTCTAATACCCCTGGAGTGTTTTTTTTTTCATTAGAAGGAAAGGGGGTAGAGGGGATAAGAGTTACCAAAACATATACCATATTTCCATCAAGAGTAACTTGTTTACATCAAGAAAAGAGAGAGGGTGTGGGGAGGGGAGGGAAGGGGACGGGACGGGATAGTTTTTTCTACACCAAATAGATAGTATTTTTTTTACATCAGGAGGAGAGAGTAAAGCCCTAACGACAGAACCAACGTTTGGGTAAAATTGAGAGTAACTTTTTTTTTTTGTTTTAACATCGGGAGGGGAATGAGGAGAGGAGGGAGGGGAGCGGGATGGATGGGTGGCTGCAAGGCATGGTACTTAATAGGTAGAGCGAAATACGTTGTTTAGCATTACCGTAAAATAAATGGTAAATTTATTACTACACTATTTCAAATCAAATGCACAATGGCAGCGCAAGGTGAAGATTAATTCTTCGGAAATTGTAAATGTCACACTTAAAGTGATTAAAATGCTACGAGTATTCTTTTGAGGGAAACTCGTTGCATTAGTAGAGTCATCCAATTAAGATCACAATATCATCAAGTACAGGCCAATCAGAGAAGGCCAATGTTGCCACAGGCAGAACTGACATATGTTATTATCTTCAGCTATATATATGACCAGTGACAGGATTGAAAAACTGATGACTGGTCTACATAAAGTGTGCAAGGTGCACAGTTCACTTGACACCACTTCCAGAATAAAGCATCAAGAACAAATCATAGTATATTAGTAGCACTTTAGCAGTGCATCAACTGAATTTTTACATATATCCTGCTTTTTTTGCTAGAAATTCTGATCCTAGCATCTAGACCAAACATGTGACACTTATTGATTTGTTTGTTTATTCACATATCTTCAGTAAGATTTTGATCACAATTCCCAGTTCACTTTATCTGATCTCTAGGATGAAATGGAGGTCCCTTTCATGTTGCCATCCACTTCACAAGATGCCCCAAAAAGCTTTGATTCTATGGATATGAATCATCAATTTTGTCTTGTTTTTATTTTTATTTTTTCTTACTGTTAGATTATTATTGGCTTAAAGGTTTTGAAAAGAATTATTGGCTTAAAGGTTACTGTCGAGATGTCACCCTAAGGCCTGAGGTCTTGCATCAGATCTAGAGCGCAGAAATGACGATATTGACGATTTGTAGATTTGGAAAATCAGGGTGATGTGGTACTTGGATGCCATTTGTCCTCTCCTAGCTACTCTGTTTTTCTTATTCCTTTTCTCTAGTCATAACACGTGTACAACTCGCATATGGTTCCTTTAACATGATATAGGTTACAAATTGTCATGGCCAAAGCTTACTAATATAGTTTTTGCCACCACAGTTCCATAGTTTCACCTACACCTAATTATAAACGGTAATACTTATAGCAACTAACCTAATTATAAACGGTAATACTTATAGCAACTTAAAAAAATATTTTTTTATGTATATATTTCAATGACTTAAAAACCAATACTAAAATAAACTAAAATAAAAAAAATCAAAATGATTCTAAAATTAAGATTTAAAATTCACGTTTCGACAGTGATCGATAAACTAAAGAGCAAACGATGGAGCTATTTAATATTATTACAAGATTTGGAGTGCTTTTGGTTTTGGGCCAAAATTAAGCCTTTCAAATGTGAATGTTTTTTCTCTCCAATTGTCCAGTAATTTAACTCATGAACACATGAATTTAACGAAAGTGAGTCTTAGATTCTACAAAATGGAAAAAATATTACAAAACTTGTAAAGCTTAACAATGCCAAAATTGGGTAAGATAAGATAGGTAAGTCGGTGTTTTTTAGTTTTAACCTTACGAGATATTTTTGCATGAAGTTATGTCAAAAAGTTTCCAGCAAATTACCAGAGTTTATATATATAAGGCCCCCATCGTTTGGCCAAATACGGATAATAGCAAACTACTAATAATTTATAGGTAAAAGTTTTACATATGTATTCTTAGCGATTTAAATGATAATACTGAAAAATAAACTTCGATGAAAACCCTTCAAAAATTAGTTTGAAAAATCAAATTTTGGCGGCTGCTGATGTTATATGGAGGAAACTATCGGGGCCTAAGACATGTTTGGATTTCCGCTTGTCAAATTTTGGCATGCCCAAATTTAGTATGATTGAAAATGGTAACAAACTAAGCATGCTCTATTTTTATTGGGAAGCACCGATCACATGTTTCAAATAGGTCAGGCCTGGAACGAAGCCAACTCCTAAATTGAAATGAGTTCCAGAATTTGTCACTTGTCACATAAATGCAAACATGCGCATAAAATGCAAAATGACATTCTGATGCGTCATCCACACATATGTGGGCCCTGGGTCCCATACATAAGTGGAACAATAAAAAAACACATAAATATTTGAAGTGCTACGGAGCAATTTGCTCCTTATTCTGTTGACAGTGAAATCCTACTTTCTCAGACATCCCTTACAATTTACCTCTGTCAGAACGAAAAAGAAAACAGAAGATCGATATGTAGAGCTAATTTATTTGTTGTACTAATCCTGTCACGACGTACTAGTGGTACGGTAATTACAATTGGAATAGAGACTGAGAAAACATGATGCAATTTGGGTACAGGGTACAGTACTTGCATTGAGTACTACTCCCTCCGTCCCATAATTAACGTTTTTGACTTTTTATTTGTAACGTTTGACCATTCGTTTTATTTAAAAAATTAATGCAAATATAAAAAAAGATAAGTCATATGTAAAGTACTTTTGATAATAAAGCAATTGACAAACAAAATAAATAATAATTCATTTTTTTTAATAAGACAAATGATTAAACATTGACAAATAAAAACTCAAAAAGACAAGTAATATGGGACGGAGGTAGTACCATCCATGCATCGTCCACTTAACTTTGATGACCAATTAGTGCCGGTCATTTTCTCGTGCTTATCTCCTTTCTTTTTGTACTTTTTCAAGACGTACGTGCGATGTTGTCACCTAGGAGAGTTTATTATATGTTAGAGGGTAGGGCTACAGATTGCGATCTACTTTTTTTCTGGAACGGCAACCATGAGCAATAAAGCTTTCCCATGAAGAATTTTAACTTAGAGCAATTGTTGGAGGAGATAATGACTCGGGTCATATTATAGTATCGGAGATACACTAGTAGTAAAAGAATTTAGGGGGTGTTTAGATTCAGGAGTGTAAAGTTTTGACGTGTCACATCGGGCATTATATAGGGTGTCGCATGGAGTGTTCGGGCACTAATAAAAAAACTAATTATAGAATCCATTAGTAAACCATGAGATGAATTTATTAAGCCTAATTAATCTGTTATTAGCAAATATTTACTGTAGCACCATATTGTTAAATCATGGAGCAATTAGGCTTAAAAGATTCGTCTTACAAATTAGCCGCAATCTGTGCAATTAGTTATTTTTATAGCCTATATTTAATACTTCATACATGTGTTCAAATGTTCAATGTGACAGGGTGAAAAATTTTAGAGCGTGATCTAAACAGAGCTTATATATAGACGGTGGAGAGAAAGCCAACCGCTGTATGATGGGAAAATATATATATACTAGTTGAAAAATAAGATTTCACATGTAGATGTAACATTATTGAAAGTATGTGTCAAATTTTTTCTAGAATTTTCTGTGACATTTGCTAGTTGGTGTGCACGGAAAATTTCTGTGTATAGATATGTTTCCCATAAATTAAGACTAGAAAGTGCAATATGTTCTAAACCTTCTCCAGCATCGCAAAATCATGCTCACAATAATATCATTCATGAAATATTATTAGTTTAAAATTCATGTGTTACTCACTTACCCTTAACAAGTACCTTAATTACACGACTCGTAAAAAAGACGAGTCATCTCGATTTGAGGTGTTGCCCAACACACTTATACGACAGCTTTGAGTCGAGGTCCAACAACCTGCCCACATCGTCGTCGTTCACCTTACGTACGTACCAACACACTGACCTATCATGGTTTTCCATCGTCGTCTTTGTATCGCACCACCGCTTTGTAGTGGCAGAGTGATCTTGGCGGAATTTGCAAGGCATAGTTCGCATAGAAGAGAAGATGCGGGTAACGACAAAAACAAAATGTGAGAACTTAATTCGTTTGTATTTTGTTGACAAGGTTTTTTTAGTCCTTTTTAATTATCTATTCACCACTAAATGATTTCTTCCTCCCTGTTATGATGTTTTCTAACCGTTAGATTACTTTAAAAATCATGTATACATCCCGTACCCGAACACTGTCTTCCTACTCATAATGTTGCTGTTCTGTCCCAATCTCCTCGCCTCCTCCATTGCCACCGTCTCCCTATCCCAAGAAGCCACATCCGCTATATATGAGAACTTAATTTGTTTGTAATTTGTAGAGAAGGTAATCTTGTTGACTATCATTCATTATCCGAGTGATTTCTTACTTCCTATCACGTGTTTTTTTTTCATTGCATTGCTTCAAGATTCTTGTATGTCCCTCTAACCCTAATCCCGCCTTCCTCTTGCCATTGCCGCTCAACACCGAATCTTCTCGCCTTCTCCATTACCACCGCCTCTCTACCCCTGATGAGCGACCCCTAACCCCGTCGGCGTCCTGTCGTCAATGGCACCAGTGAGGCCCAACAGACTGGCCTCCTCCCTTCCTGTCCTCTCCCTACCCCTCCTCTCTCCAAGTGACAGCAATGGCCCTATTCTCGTCTTCTTCCTTGTCTTTGGCTCCCACAGCGCCCCACCTCCTATGTACTCTAACGAGAAGAGTTTCACCCGCCAACACCAATACACCTTTTCTCATTTTCTTCCATGGCTGAGACGGCGCCGTTGCGTCGCCATCACCTTCGTCCTAGCCATCCCTCTAAGCTCGAGAACACCTCCCACTTCCCCACTCCAAAATCTCCTTCCTCTCCCTACCTCAACCCTAAAAACCTAATCCATAGGTCCTCTGCCGGATTCATCAAAGATGAAGCCGAAACATAGCTATTGAAGCAGATTTGAAGGTTAGAAATTCACACAGTTTCCTCTAAAATCACGTGCTTGATGTATAGTAAAATCTTTCTTTTTTTTTCATCAGAGGTTTCATATCATACAAGTCAAGGAGCCAATGAGGTAGTGTTGTTTATTTTACTCCCCCCCCCCCCCCCCCGGCGCAAAATTTGCTATTGGACAACTTTTCTAAGGGTACTGTGCCAACTTTGGGACTTGTGTCGCTGCGGGTGGGGCCGGCAGCATTTCTAGAGGGCCCACAGACAGCGACTCGTGCCGACCTTGTGCAAGTTTTGCTTCTAAAGTGGCTTTCGATGTTATCTATGACTAACACAAAACGACGGTCAACTAGATGTTTGTTTTCAGTTGGAAGGAGCACTCGGTTGGCATCTACAGAGTTCAGACACCGGAGAAAGTCAAGCACAAGCTGCCCATGTTCAGGCAAGCTACGCCAGTAAACGTCAGGTACAAAACTTGAGCGAAATTCGCCATTTTGAACTTGAATTTCTGAAAAAGATGGCAAAGAACAAGAACAAAGGCTTCTCCAAAATAAATTCAGAACAAATTGTTTAGCTGCAATGAATAACATGGCTTCTGTGAAACTGTAACCAAAGCTCAACATGTTTCTGTATGATTTTTGGAAAAACAAACCGTATTTTGTGAAAGCACAACGACCAACTCAGCAATCTGCAAATGCAAGTTAGTAAATGCACTGTATAGTGCACAATGAGAACAGCAATAAAGCTTAGGAACATAAATGCAACCAATTCTGATCATAATATAGAGGCACAAGGGTCACAATCTGCAGGTTAAGATCACCAAGATCCATTCAACATACCAATTGTTGCCAGTAAAACTGTGCCCAGGCTTTGCAATTAACAGTTAGAACCCAAGGATGAAACAAATGTATTGGTACAAACTAAAAGAATGGGTTGCTGGTTGCAAAATCATGTCGACAAAATTTGCGGATGGCTGTACCTGTGCTACCGCAATTTCAGCTAGGTTTCTTTCAGTCTTCTACCGAAACAGAAACGGAAAAACCCGCATTTACTTTGCTCCTCACCACAAGCCGAGCATCTTCCACCAGAAGCCTCCAGCACCAAGCCAGATGATGATGTTAACGATGGAAATGACAAATCCATACCCCCACCACTGAGCCAGTGGAACATAGCCAGCACCGTAGAAGACAGGAGCAGACCCAATTCCATAGTGCGTGAGTCCACCCATGATGTTTGAGAGGAATGAAAGAACCATGGCAGCAATTAGAGGAGGAGTGCCCAAGGCGCTGGACACTGACAAAAATGCAGTGAACATTGCTCCAATGTGCGCTGCGCCACTGGCAAAGAAATAGTGGGAGTAGAAGTACAGCAGCACCAAGACACCAAACGATAGTTGCCATGAGAGACCAAGGCCACCAACAAACTGAGCATAAAACACAACAATGGTCAGTATAGGAAATCAGCAAAGACATTGAGAGAACACTTCTATTTTAATATATTTGCAGAGCTCGAGTTAGAAGAAACAAAAATAGCAGAATATCAGGTGAGAATAATATTAAACATTTAAACTGCTCATCTCCAGCTAGTGCCATTTGTTTCAAGCTTAACAATGATAACCACGAGGACCATTCATTTTAAGATATCTTCAAATTTAACAATTTTAAACACCTCCCTAACATAGCATAATTGCCAGCCTATCCATACTATTGACAGTGTTATTGTTTCAGTATGAACAAACAGCAGTATAAGTTGCTTCTCATTTCTATAGAAGGATAAGCTAGAAAGATTATTCAAGAAATTTAATATCTGATGTAATGAAAAATAAATTGCTTTGATTTCAAACTGCTAGGAACTAACATATTGTGGAAAATTAAGTCACCATGCTCAATGTTTATAATATGCTTACCAGTTAGTTATAGTCACAAAGCTTACTGATCATAAAATCCTTACAAGCATAAAGCAGATCATGTGATACGATTTGACCTGATAAGTCAAGAGATATTGTTACAGGAGGGGGGAGGGACATACCTTCACAACAGTCTCACTGAACCAAGAGATCAACCCGTATTTGTTGAGGTATCCAGCCATTGCAATAAGAGCAGCAAACCATGTAAGGGTATCCCACGCTACAGCCTCCCCCAAACACTCTTTCCATGTAACAACTCCAGAAATCAGGAGGACGGATAGGCCAAGAATTGCAGCAGACACTGCATCCACATTCAGCATTCCACCAAAGATCCAAAGACCTACCTGTTGGCAAGATGACAATGTATAGTGAGGAAAAGGCTCAGTTTTTATTCAAGTTGGAGGCAATCAAGATGATGCAAGAATGTAGAGGTATATAAACAGGTCGTTATTGGGTTTACCACTTCTTATCTTTTACAAAATAACATGTTTCACAGTAATAAGGTGACCCAATCACAAACCACTGTAGGGTTCTCCTAAAAGATGGCTTGAAGCTTCGCAAAAGAAACCACAAAACGGTACCTTTGCTATTCATTCACTGATAATGTAAATTAGTGAAAGTCTTTTAAGTGAAATCACATAGTAATTCTACATAGGCTAGTCAGAGCACAATAATGATCCAAATCTCACGGATACCTAAATAACAATTACCGGTCCCTACCTCTATGTACTAATCCCAGACAAGACCCCTGCTAAAATGAGGGCACAAACACCAGATTCATGGAAATCTCCATTTCCGAACAGCCCACTCCTTTAATATCAATCACTTATAAGAATCCTAGTACCCCACAGGCAACATCTTTGTACTGAAAATCATAAACACCTACTACACATATAGTACACTTCGCTAGAGTACTGATATTGAGGGCCTATTTGGTAGAGCTCCAGCTCCACCTCTTCTGGAACTAGAGCGCAGCCAAACAGTTTCAGCTCTACCCAGAAAGAGAGTGGAGTAGGCTGGATCACTCTCACAAAATGAACTAAAGATGTGGAGCTGGGTTTAGGTTGCTCTACAATTCAACTTCAGATCCAACTAGTGGAGTTAAATTTAGGAGTTGGAGCCCACCCTAATACCCCAAAAGCAGCATAACAATAATATAATACTAGCAATTGTTAATTCCTCAACAAAAATGGTAGAACGAAAGGAAATTGCTAATAATCCCATCAAATACCGTGAGGAACAGCGTTCCAGCCATGATCTTCTCCTCCTTGCTCATAGGCCCCATCTTCTCCAACCGCTCCTTCGCCAGCCGCGGCGCGTCGGGGCTGGTCTTCACCTCCGGCGGGTAGATCAGGTACAGAATCAACGGCACAAACACCAGCGACAGCAAGCCCGGCACAATGGCGGCCTTCGCCCACAGCGTCCACCCGATCCCCTGCCCGATCGTCCCCGCCGTCAGGTTCGCCGCCAGCGGGTTCGCTGCCATGGCGGTGAGGAACATCGCCGACGAGATCACCGACGTCTGGAAGCACGTGAGCATCAGCCACGACCCGAGCCTCCTCTCCGTGCCGTCGCCGGCGCGCGAGCCGCACGCCTCGCACAGCGACTTGACGAGCGGCAGGAAGATGCCCCCCGCGCGCGCCGACACCGACGGGATGGCCGGCGCCAGCAGCGCCTCGGCGAACACGAGCGCGTAGCCGAGCCCGAGCGACGAGCCGCCGAAGGCGGAGACGAAGGCGTAGGCGACGCGGCTTCCGAGGCCGGTCTTGATGAAGCCGCGGGCGAAGAAGAAGGCGAGCGCGATGAGCCACGGGATCGGGTCGCCGAACGCGGAGAACGCGGCGGCGAACGTGAGCGTCCGCGTGAGCACGGCGGCGCCGAGGCCGAGCAGCGCGACGGCGCCGAGCGGGAGAGGCTGGGTGATGATCCCGACGATGGTGGCGAGGAAGATGGACAGCAGCTGCCACGCGTTGCGCGCCACGCCCGCGGGCGGCGGGACCAGCCATATCAGCACCCCGGTCCCGATGGTTGCCACCAGCGGCTTGATTGCCGCCCCCTGAAGCACCGGCTTCGGCGGCTGCGACGGCGGCGCCGCTGGAGCAGCGGAGGCGGAGGCATGAAGGGCGCGGTGGCGAGGAGGAGGAGAAGGGGTGAGTGGGGTGGGGCGGGAGAGGGAGAGGGAGGGGGAGGGGGAGAGGGGGCGGAGGGGGAGGGAGGGGAGGCGAGGGCGGAGGCGGAGGCCGAGGTGGTGGCAGGTGAGGGGGGCGGTGGCGGCGGAGGTGGAGGTGGCCATGGCGGCGGCGGCGGCGGCGAGAGGGGGGGCGGAAATGGAGATGGGAGAGAGGAGGTGGGGGTGTTAAAGTGGATGGACGGTGAGGATGGCATTGGCATTGGGCGTATCGGAATCGGAACAGCGGCTGCGTGCACCCGGTGTTCCTGGACCATAGTGGCACTAGTCCACTCACTCCCATGCCCACATTATTACCCTCGTCTTTTCGTTATCTTATTAGCTAAAATTTAAATTTTCAACCTTAAATTTGGAGCTGATCTTGGGTTTTTTTATTAAAGTTTATTTTTCAGCCTTTGCTTTTAGATAGATAAGAACACATATATAAAAACTTTATTCATAAATTATTTTTCATTTACAAATATGTTGTAAGCGAAACAATGGGGATGTGTTTTGATATAGCTCCGGATCCAAATCCATGGTAGTTGAAGTTTGTAAGTTAATTAAAGTGGTAAATTTCATCTAAAACATTAACAAGATTATTTATCTAAAATGTTATCAACATAGTCAAAATCTAGATATATATAGATTTGTAAAGCTTTGAAGTGAAGGGAACCGTTCGAAGTGAGCGCTTTGACTCAGCCCCCGCGTCGCTCTCACGGGCGACACAGGTGGCGACCCCATCCCGCGCCACCGCCGGTTTCCTCCCTCCCCTCCACTGCCTCGCCGCCGCTAGAGCCAGCTCCCGCACGTCCGTGCAGCGACGAGGACAGCGGCGGCGGGGCCTCTGCCCAGATCCTAGCTTCCTCTCCCTCTAGCTCGTCTCTTCCTCTCCCCCCAGCTCCTAGATCTGGCCTATCGCGAGAGCTGACCGACGGCTAGGACGGCGGTGGCGAGGAAGTGGCAAGGCATCGGCGACGGAATCTCTTTGGACGGCGGTGGGGGCGGCGGCTCGACGGCTCCCGTCGGTGGAGGCGGCCTAAGAAGGCGGTGGCTTCCGTCGGCGTCGATGGCCCTGGGGCTGCGACGGAGGACAACAGTGGCTCCCGTCGGCGCTGCGGCCGGCGGCGGTGGTTCCCATCGGCGCCGGCTGCCCTAGAGGATGTGGTGGAGGACGGCGGCAGCTTCCATCGGCGCCGGCGGCCCTAGAGGCTGCGGCAGACGGCGGCGACGGCTCCCGTTGGTGTTGGTGGCCCTAGGGGCTACAGTGGCTCTCGTCGGCGCCGGCAGCCCTAGGGGTTGCGATGGAGGACGACGGCGGCTTCCGTTGACACCGGCGGCACTAGGGGCTGCGGCGGCCCAGGACGGCGGCGCCCCCGTCGGCACAGGGCCCTAGGGGTTGCGGTGGCTTGAAACGGTGGCGGTCTGAGCACTTTGGATAGTAGATGCCTAGGAATCTGGCAAAGTGGAAGCCGATCCTGTCGGTTCGTGTCTAGTTGGCTAGTTCCGACTATACGACGAATGACGACGGTTGAGAGTGGGCTTAGAAGCGACGCGTGACGTCAGCTCATCTGAAACTGATGAAGATGGCACAAATGGAGGTTTGCATCAATGGCGCACTAGGGGCGGCAGCGACTAGTAGACTTCCACTCGTCAAATATGGCTGTTTCAGGAGAATATGGTGGGAGACAGAGAACCAGGATGTGCTGAGGTCGTTTGGGTTTATTTTCTTTTTTGGTTGTGTTCTCCTTCTTGTTGAGATGTGAGTCTAAATTACTCTTGTATCCTTTTGGCCGCGTATATCCTTCGTGGATATAGAGGCCGGATTAATGAAAATCCATTATCTAAAAAATATAGATTTGTAAAGCTAGGAATACTCAACTTCAAGAAATCTTGGATATATGGAGATGTGCCAAAAGGACCTATGGTAGCAAGAGAGTTAGTCCTTTTTTTTTCTAATTTAAGAACGAAATATTATACGATAGGATGAAACATGCCAAAGTCAATAATATTATACGATAGGATGAAACATGGTCACAGTGATACCAGATAATTTAGACAACCCTTTCCACTTTCCAGATAAAATAACTAGAGCGAAAATGCTATTTCTACATGCAATTATCGCCATTGTTAATTACCAACAATGCATGTAAAGACGACCACTTTCCTGCAGCTAGAAAAAAAAACCAAGTTTGTTTCATTTCGTGAAAGGAGGATACTGGAATCGCACTTTAATAGGTAAACACGATTTCCCTTGATGTTAATTTTAATGTGATTTCCCTTGATGTTAATTTAATGTATAAAATTTGATTAGGATTCCCTACAACCAGTTATAAACTTGGAAAAAACAAAGGCAATCCACGTGACCACATCTCATACATTGTTTTTACATGGTTTTAAACATTTTCCTATATACTTTGCTACAATATTAATAAGTGCATTACAATAGCTCTTACATTACATGGCTATGCCTATGATATTTTCATCATCGCATGGACAATACAAATCTTACCGCCAGCGGCGGAGATAGGGCTTCGCTGGTGGTGTCGCCGCTGTTAATTATCGATAATGCACATAGAAATTAGTTAGTGACCAGAGAACGCTATGTGTTGTCCATGCTTCACAGTGTCACTGGCTCAGTTACTTATTACTTCCTCCATATTTTAATTCCATATTTTAATGTATGACGCCGTTAACTTTTCGACCAACGTTTGACCATTTGTTTTATTCAAAATTTTTGTGTAAATATGAAAATATTTATGTCATGCTTAAAGAATATTCGATGATGAATCAAATCATAATAAAATAAATGATAATTACATAAATTTTTTTGAATAAGACGAATGATCAAACGTTGGAAAAAAGTTAATGGCGTCATACATTAAAATATGGAGGTAGTACAACTCTATCCTTTTATATACATGTTCTCCACCAATTACATGCATCGATTACTAATACCATCTCGCCTTTATTGAGTACATAAACACTAAGGATGTGTTTGGATAATGAGAAATGAAGGGTGGGATTGGGATTAGGAAATGAATGAAGGGTTAGAATTAAATGAAAGAGGGAGAATAAATAGTTAGGATACCTTTTGATGGGTGGGAATCATTTTCCTATCTCATTATCTAAACAATGCCTAAAAACTTTTCTCACTAGTATGAGCATCAAAGTAGCAAGTACTTCCTCCATCTAAAAAATAAAACCTAGAACATGATGTAATATATTCTAATACTATAAATTTAGAATAATAATTGTTTAGATTCGAAATACTATACAGTAATGTGTTATATCATATTCAACATTGAGAATGTCCCAAGTGTTCAACATTGAGAGAGAAGAAAACAACAGCTGCCTAGCCTACAGACCGGGTCCAGCCAAAAAACTACAAGAGGTTGGGTCCCCCATACGTGTAGCCTTGACATTGCAGTAGTGGCCATGTGTGCGTCCTTGTGATTGTGGCTGAGACGAGACTGACGAGCGGTGGAGATCCACCCCTGTGGGGACAGGATTGGGCACCGACGCCTCCTGGCCGTCCGTTCTCCCTCTCAACTCTCAGAACAAAAGAAAAGCAGAGGAGGGAAATCTTCAGAGTTGGCGAGTGAGACGTGTCTGTTTCTGAAGAAATGTAATACTCCCTCCATTCCATTTTAAATGCAGCCATAGTTTTCCACATCCAACTTTAATCGTTCATCTTATTTAATTTTTTTTAAAAAAATTAAAAACATAAGTCACGAGTAAAGTACTATTTATATTTTATCATTTCATAACAACAAATATACTAATTATAAAAAAATTTAAATAAGATGGACGATAAAAGTTGAGCGCGAAAACTTATTGTTGCATTTAAAATAAGACGGAGGTAGTATGTAGTATGTTGTTTGGATTCAGTTGTTTTGTAGCGATGGAATTCATAAACTGAAATGAGACTGGAAAAGAGCTGCTTTAATAATGGAATACATTCGGACTTTGCTTGATTGCTTCCCAGAAGCTATAGTCCCTTGTTACAGGGGCCGTACAGGAGTTGATGATGAAATTGGTGCAATTGTTTTTAGTAATTTGGAGATTTTATACGTTTGATTACATGGCATTCTGTATTGGTTTAGGAAGTAGTAGCAGATGGCTAAATGTGCTTAACAAAATTGTACTACTACTACAAGGTTTACATTACTGTCGGTAACCGTGGTTACCAGTCTTACCACGGGGTACGGTAATAGAAAAACCACGGTAACCTCCTTAAATTCAAATAAATTTAAAAAATAATTTTAATTTTTGATAAATTTTGCACGGTTTCGTACAGTTTTTTACCGCGGTTACCGTACGGTAACCGTGCTTACCGCCGGGACGCGGTAACCTGGCCCCGGCGGTTTTGGAAACCCTAACTACTACTACTATTACAACAACAACTAGTATATTTTGTAAGATGATACCGTATTTGATAGTCTATTGGTCTTGCATACGCATGCATGGAGCAAATATGTGTTCTTGTTATTGCTGTATAATTTACCATCAAGGGTCTGTTTAACAAATGGACATGCTTAGCTGGACAGATCTGAATCTCGACTCCAAGAATAAATTGATTTTGTTCTTTAGTCCACGATCCTCTCAAGAACCTGCCAGAACATTCATATTACAAAAATTCGTACTACAGACAAATTTTGTCACAATCGCACACTGAACCAGATTAACTGAAGGATGTGGCCACCCTAATTAAGCCATTGAATGTCTAACTTGGGGAAATGGGAATAGTCCGAAGTTGCATTGCCTCTGACCATTTTTGTTGGGCAGCTTGAAAAGATAATACCTCTGCATGCTGTTATTAGGATCTGAAAGTCTGAAGTCTGAACATGTAGTATATAATAGAAGAGCAGCGACATGGATGGAGCTAGCTTGTGATTGATTGTTTTTTTTCGCTAACGCATTTTTTTTCGCGAACGCGCGCGTGATTGATTGTTGTTTACTTAATTTGGTCGATAAAGATGCATTTTCTTTTCTTAACTAGCAAAAGTGCCCGTGCGTTACACCAGGTGATTACGGAGTGTGTATATTGACCAAAAGTATTGTTTGGTTTAGCAAAACTGCCCGTGCGTTGCAACGGGAAGCGTACAGATTAGAAAAACATGCAATTAATTAAAATACAAATTCGCTGAAATATTTGGTATTTTTAAGTAGGTATGTGTATAATTAAA